GTATTTTTATTTAACTATTCATTAAATTTCTATTTTTTCTTATTCTTTAGCATATTGAAACGTTAAAAGATTGTTCAAAAATGGCGGATAAAATTGTATTAAATAATACCAATATTAATATTATTACTACTTTAAATGAAAAAGCTGAATTGATTGAAAAGGCACGTGATTATATGTCAAAATCAATATACAAACTTTCTAGCAAATATAATCCAAAAATTAAATTCTCTATTAGTATATTTGGTGGGGGACTTTTAAACAAAGAAATTGAAATTAAACGAATTTAGTGTTAAATCTTTTTTTGATAATTTATATACCGTATTTTTTGTATTAGAGCCCCACGTTGTATTAGAGCCCCACGCTGTAATAAAGCCCCACTTTCAAGGATAGTTGAAAAATAGAGCCCCACGCTGTATTAGAGCCCCACGCTGAAATAGAGCCCCACCTTTTAAAATTTACCTATTGTATAATAAATTGTTAATTTTTGATACTATACTGTTTTTTTTCTTTTATTTAATGTTCTGTGCCAATGTTAGAGATTATATGTGATTAAGAGGATATTTGGGTATTAATAACACCTTAAGCTGCTCCAAATCCTCTTCAATAAAGGGATTTGGACGTTATAGGAGATATCAGGAGATTCCTCTATATGCATACTGATAAGCATAGATTTGGCGAGATCAGCTTAGTTATCAGGAGATCCACCTCAGAAATCCTCCGATATCTGATTAATCCCCAAATCATTAATACTCTTCAAATCACTTGATATCCATATTAATCCCCAAATACCTTCTTAATCACATTTATATTCTTCAATTGGGACTGAACCGAATATATGTACACACAAAGGAGTGACCGTGCGGACTGAAGCAAAATAGAAATTTTCAAAGTCTCGTAGGTAGGATTGCCAGCTCGCTCGACCCCCGCTCGAAAAAAGTTAAGAGCGAAAAACTCGTTCGAAAAAATCCAAACTCGAAAACGAACCGAATCGGAAAAAACCAAGCTCGAAAAAAATGCACCGAACGTCGGCTCGAATCGAAAACGGCAACCCTACTCGTAGGATTTGAACCTTCCACAAATTAAAATTCCAATTTGGCTTTAAATCCAACTCAAATGCACTTAATCGCGACTTAGTGTACACGCGAACTATCCACTTTGGAGATATCTCAATGTTGGAATTTGCTTTTGTGATTAAATTTTAATTGATTTGAAAAATATAGTTTACCGTATAATTGAAAATTGTATTACGTATTTTCAAAAATTGGTTGAAAAATAAAGCCCCACGCTCTATTAGAGCCCCACGCTGTAATATAGCCCCACTTTGGAGGATAGTTGAAAAATAGAGCCCCATGGGGCTCTAATACAAAAAATACGGTATTTTATCTCACGGCAATTTGTTTATCTTCGCCTAATTATTTCTGGAACAATTTATTTAACATTGTATCCTATTTGGTATAAGTTCAAGTCTTTTCTCGATAAAGACGGAAATTCCATTACCGCATTTACTCGATTAATTCCTCTGGGGAATTATTTTTTCAACCTTTTTTTTTGATATCAAAAAAAAGATTCAACCTATCCGTGGCATGGGTTATTATTCAAGGGAGGGGAATTATTCGAGTTTTAAAATTTGAACGTGGAGTAGGGTATTTGGGAGAGGGAGATTATTATTTCAACCCATCCTTGGCATGGGGAATTATTCAAGGGAGAGGAATTAATGAGTAAATACGTATCTGAGATTTGACTTTTTTTATTTGATTTTAAAAATAGTTTTAAAAATTTTGTTTTTTGATAAACGTTAAAAAAATGCAAAAAAGATGATTAAAAAATTTCTATTTGGAAGATTTCAAAACGCTCAAATTTAGTGTCTAAGTGTAGGGTTTTAAAATTTATAAGTTCTATCCAAAAATTTCTATTCGAAAGACTGCAAAACGATTTCTGGTGGGCCTTAAAATTTTTTATATAAGCTCTCAATCGGTACAATAACTTTATCGGTACACAGGAAGTAAGAGTAACACCAAAAAATGCTTGTTTTTATAATTTTGAAACGCACTTTAGGCGCCTATTTTGACTTTTTAGTGCCTAAAAACCATAGCCCTACTCAGCTCGACTAGCTCCTTCGAACGAGCTATCATTTGTATAAACTTTTTTTACTCCAAAAAATAACCCTATGATTTTTCATTATTCAGGGGTCTGTATCTCGGTCCAATCAGGTCGGATTTCTTGATTTTGGCGTCATTCGATGCAGCTCGATGAGTTTTACCTGCCCATGAAAGACTGACCATTTTGTACTATGTCCGACAAGGTCCGGGGTCATATTCCGAATTCGGGTCCGGGATTCGACTTTTTCAAAATCCGAGCTCAGATTCGTAATCAGCATATTTTTTACACTAGAAAAATTCTTTTTATTATTTTTAAAATTTATTTTCAAAGAAATCCCAATTCTCCGGGATTGCCAAAAATACATAATACAAATAAAAATAATTTTTCAACATAAAATCATCAAAGAAAAATTTACTTAAATCCGTTTTTTATTCTTTTTTAAATAAATTTGTATTTTTCTCTTTTCATTATCATCTTCACAAACTTCATCTTCAGCTAAGGAAAGTCCCGAATCTTCTCCTCCTTTTTGTTCCTCTGTATCAAACAAAGACCCTTCATATTTTGAATGTGAGCTTATAATACCGTTAGGGCAATGGTGGTTTTGTTGTTCGTGTAAATGTTTTGAACTAGTATCGAAAATTTGACAGATTTTGAGCTGAAAAGTGGCAAAAATATTTTTTATAAAATTATTACATTTGAAATCTGAAAAGCAGCGATGAGCTCATAATGGTCAAAAAATTTAATGGGGGATAATTGAATGGGAAAAATTCAAATATAAAAATAATAGCTCAATCTAAAGAGCACGTCGATCTGAGAAGAATGACATCAAAATCACCGTGATTGAACGAGTTTGGACAACGATACAAAAAGCCTAACAAGCACTTCGGATAGTAGAGGTTCACTTGATTCATTTTTGTATCGCAACTTTGTTCAAACTTGTTCAATCACGGTGATTTTGATTTTGCTCTCAGCTCGATGAGCTCTTTCAAATGAGCTATCATTTGTCTAATCTAATTTTTGACCCTAAAGGGATTTTAAACTTTTGTAAATTCTTACTCCTTACTTAATTCTTACTTTGTAAATTCTTAAATTCTTACTTATTACGGATATTGGATAAGGAAAACTATATAAGCCCAGCAGAGGGGGCTACTATACATATATCGGATATTGGATAAGGGGAGCTGCCTAAGCGTTTTATGTGCCCAAAAAATGAGCCTTATAGCGCGTTCTGACTATAAAATTATTAAACTTGCCTCATTAGTTTCGTCTTCTCTAAAAGTAAATTGAAGAATGGCATCTTCCTTTTCACAATTAACCAATTTTTGCAATACATTTCCAGTTCCATTCTCTACCTCATCCTCTTCAATAACCTTTTTATTTCCTCTATCAACATTTTTATAATTATCAATTGCCAAATCTAAAGGTTCTATTGAAGCAGAAATTTTTCTTTGTAAAGAAGCTATAGACTTCTTTCTCTCATTTTTAATTTCATTTATTTTTTGTGATTCCGTAATTTGTATTAATGAAGGGGAACCAACAGCTATTACAGCAGAGGGGGCAATATATTTATTCTCAATTTGTTGGAGAATAAAATCTATCAAGTGTTGGAAACGGAGAAGGATAGCTTCTGTTGGGGCCAAAATACTTTTTTTAATTCGTGCACGAAGTCTGAAGTGAAAAAAAATTTTTTTTCTCAAAAAACTTTCCAAAAAAACTCTCACTTTCTCAATGCGAACTGCATTAATTCAAATGGCAACATAATTGGAGGAAGGATTAACCTTAACCACCACCTAATCAAACGCCAACGTCGCAGCCAACTAAGTAAGCCAGCAGCACTTCGAGTTTCCATATCGGTTAGAGCTAAAGATTTTTTTAAATAAGTGTTTTAATTAGAATGGTTTAAGACTAGTTATTTTTGGTTACAGTTAGACCTCAATATGTTAATGTTTTTAATTTAGTTGGTCATAGGGTGAGGATAATTGGGGGAAGGATTAACCTTAATACCCTAACAATTGATACACTCAATTTTAGATACAATTTTCCAACAAAGATAAATTATGGTCAGTGGTGTCATGGGACCCGAAAAATTTCGAAAAACCAACCCGGAACCCTAAACGATTTTTAAGACATGTGACATCCGTAGCGTATTATACATCTGGATTTTGGTCAAAACAGACGTTATTTCGAAAACTTTTTTTCAGAAATTGACTTGAAACGGCTAATTTTCGGCAAAAAAATTTTAAACACCCCCAATTTTAATCTTTTTCAATAAATTACTCACTTTTCTGGACTACTGACGGCAACGGGATAGACGAAAAACTAGAGGAGGCAATACGTCCTAACGGTCCAAGACATAATTCACACCCATTTGATCTTCTTCTATTAACAGGACTAGCACTATTAGCCCGTTGCTTTTGCAAAATTCTTATTCTATTACTTTTCAGAAAAGGTTCAGTTGTCGGTATTGGTAAAGATTTTTTGGTAAGTATATTTTGAGTAGGGGTTGATGGAACTGGAATTGCGTTTGATTGGACTGTTAAACATTCAATACATGGAACGAGATCTTAATAAGTAAGAAAATTTTTTAAGAAAAGGTAAAAATTATAGTTCGAATCAGGAACAGGCCTGACCATTTTCAGGAATAAAATAGGTTTTCGGGGCAAGACAGGGGACCGGACCAGCATTTTTCAGACCCCTGACCAGGGGTGAGCGCAAGAGGCAATCGTGAAAAATCAACGCAAGGCCAAAAATCAACGCAACCCGTAAAACACTGCCCCTGACTATGGCATTTTGAAAAAAATTAAGTGTTTTCAAGGTCTTCGCCCTGATCTCAGGCCTTGGCTCATGTAAAAATTAAAAACTGAATCAACCCACGGAAATCCCAATTTCTAATAAAAATTTTAAAAAGACCAACGATTTTTGGTCAGGAAACGAAGTGCATCTTCAAATCCCTGTCGACAAATCCGAGAACAAACTTCTGGTGCAGGAGGAAATAAAATTACAATAGAACGAAACAAATTCTGAGTGGTGAACTGAACAGAAGTGCCGGCTATATCAAAGCCGAACATACTGAAATTTTTCGAATTTTAGATTAAGGTGAAGTTTTCTAAACTTGCCTTGCACTATCCTCATCAGTCGGGCAAATGTCGGATTCACCACTGAATGGGCTCACCTTAAATTTTTATTATTTGACACATTAAGGGGTATCTAAAGGGGGAGGCTAGAATTCACCTTCACAAAATGGGGAAAAAAGGGGCAAAGGGATGATCGAAAAAGCGAATTTCTCCATCTATGACAATTCAGAAAAGTGTTACCCGTTGTGCGGAAAATGAAGAATTCGGATTTTTTGGCCCTTCAAAATTTTCGCCCAACTGTGTTAATGAGGTCCTACCGGTCTTATTTAAAATTCACCGTAATAGTGCCAGGCTCCCACTTTCCTGGCTGATTATCCGAAAAAGCCCCATCAATATACTGCTCTCCTCGGTATGTTGGCGGAGTTCTTCCACAATAAAAAGGGATGAAACAAGAACACAAAAGTGCTTCTATCAACTCCTCACGAGAGACAAATTCAGAAATAAGCGCATTTTTGTAATCCCGTGCCCGTGTAGCGGAAATAAAAAGTCGACCAGTACAGAGAATATCTGGTAGGGGATTTTTAAGGAATTTGAAAAAGTTTAAAGAGAAATTACGGGCATTTTCTGGTAATGTTTGTTCAAGTCCTTGTCGAACAAGTGCAAGAACATCAAAATTGGGAGAAAGTGCAAGTAAAGAACCAGCACGCGCCTTTAAAAATTAAATTAAGAATTTTAATTTTTAAATAATTTTAAATTATATGCCGGAATCAGTACTTTTTCCTTTAAATTTTTCTAGAGACCTTTTATAATACTATCGGGTCAAGAACCAAATCCCCAGTTAGAACTCAAACTAAAATTACTAGCTAAAATTGTTTCTTCTCATTAATCCTCCAAAATGTTCGTAATTTACAAGAGGAATAACTTTAAAGCTTCGTAATAATTTGTTGATAAGGAAATAAATTTACAAAAGATTCAAGTCTGATTTGCGAACAAAATTCGCAAACTTTTGGGAGAATAGAGGAAATTAACTCAAATTTTTTTACAAAATTTACCAAAATATTTCTACCTCAGTAACAATTTGCAAAATTGTACTGGTTGCGTGTGACATACACACATTACAAACCAACCCAGCAGCTGCAATTGCACCTGCGGAAGCTCCTTTTATCCGATTAAGAGTTAGTTGTGGGGCGTATTCTAAAATAAATTTTTCAATTAATAAAATAAAACATTTTTATTTCTTAAAAATTATCCTTAATGCATAATTAAACAGATTAAATTAATTCTAAAAAATCGGATTCGAATCCGTTCGGGCTAATTAACAGGTCTTTCCCATATTACAGAAACCGTAAGTTTTTATAAAATCTATTCTTCAAGTTTCTCAGTTATGCGGGGGATTTCTGGGTCTGGAAAACTCAGACTGGGTCTATTTATAAATATTTGTCTGATTACTATCTGCCCTTAATCATTTGTAATAGAGATCTGCATGAGGGGTCGGTCGATATTCGCTATAAAAATATCGAAAAAATATCGTATCGATCCGATCCCTAATTTGTAATTATTTGGAGAAAATAGGAAAAGAAAATACAACCAAAATAATCTCCACGAGTTAATTTTTACTAAAAATTGGTGTAATAAAAAGATATATTTTCTCCATTTAATTTTTTTTAATCATTCCTGATAATTTTTGACTCTTGAGCACTTCAAATTAATAGAATAATCATTTAAAAACACCTTTAATAGCAGCACAAACCCCCGCATGGTAAATACAAAGAAATCCACACCCAGCAAAAGAAAGCTGCATTTGTGTTAAATTAAGAATGGGACTATGAACTGGAGACATTTTTTTCTTTCTTTTTTTTTTAAATAATCTGTTTGGTTTAAAAATTGTTAAATTAAATTGTTAAATAGTCTAAGAAATTTAATTTTAAACAAAAGGATTAAAAAATTGTTTGAAAAAAAAAGAGCGTCTGTCTATGTGGAAGCTGAAATTAATGAAATAAAAGTTCAAGTGTTTCTCTGATAATTTTTGGTGCTTAACAAACAAAAAAATAAAAGGCTTAAAATGTGGAAAAGAATGTTCAAGATTAGTGGTCTTGGGCTAAGACACAAGAATTTTCTGAAGGGTTTTTCGGTTTTTGTATTGAGTTAAATCTGGTATATGTAGAGTGGTACGGGATTCAGCGCCGGATTTTGCAGGTTTGCCCAGCGGGATCCAGACTCAAGACTTTACTTGAGTGGTGTTTTCGGTTTTGGAATTAGGGTGAAATTTGGTTAGAAGTCGGTGCGGGTAGTGATTCAGACCCGGATTTTGCGGAGATTATCCCACGGGATCCCGTCCACATCCAACAGATTGAAGGGAAGCATTTGCTGGAGGTGGACAAAGAAATTTCTAAAAATTTTTTAGAAAAAATCCCACATTCACGATCCCTCAGACAAAGTTTTGCTGACCTCTAGTCTCGTTTTGAGTCAAATTTTTAGATTTTAGATCTATTTTAGATCTTGGAGATATGTATTTATTTGGCGCAAAAATAGAATGACTGAAAAACACAAAAAGAAATAACTTTAAATTATTTCAAGAAATATTCCTATTTGATTTCATTTAATTTTATCTTTTTACTTTTACTATTTTATATGGGTTCTTGACCGTTTATTCTAATCAGAAGTCGTTAAAATAAAAATATAAAATATTGGGGACATCCTAAGAAACGAAAGGAAAAAAGAAAGTCGCGTGATGACGCAGAGACAAGTCGCGTGCTTTTACAATTTGAAGATTAGAAGGGGGACACAAAAGAAAAAATGAGTGGTGGCATGTTGATTAGGAATCACGCAGTAATTAAATAATTAAAATAAAAAAAGTATAATGGTTGGAATTTATTTTTCTTTCCTCTTAAAATTTAAGTTTCTAAGTTATAAATAGAGTCCGACATTTTAGGTTCCGACCTATTTTTTTTGCAACCTTGTAATGTTGAGTAAAGCTCAAAAAACACTTATTTGGCACGGTACCATGCTCCTACATTGGACCTATTTGAGCCTAAAAAACCTATTTCGGCTTTTTTGGACCTAAAACCTATTTGAACCTATTTTGACCTTTTTAGGACCTATTTTAGGTTTTTTGAAAATTTTTATTAAAATTAGACTATTTTCTGTCAATTTTTTGTTAAAATAAAGTTAAATATTAAAGATTCTTTCAAAATTATTATTAAACATGAATTTCGGGTAATCTGCACTTGATGGGCACACCCCAACCTACCGCGAGGCCAACCTACCGCCGAGCTATAACTTTGTTCAGAATTGTCGAATCCGGGACAACATGGTATGATTCGATGCGCCTCGACGAGCTGAATCCAACCATACTAGGGCTTCCCGGATTCGACAGTTCTGAACAAAGTTATAGCTTGGCGGTAGGTTGGGCTCGCGGTAGGTTGGCCTGCTCCTGCACTTGACCGGGCAATTTTAGAGTAGACAATAAACTACGAGCGAGTAAATGTCCAACTCTCGACCCATATGTCCGCAAGCGTTGGTTTATATTCTAGAGGCGTTCGAGACCAAAATTTTCCCCGACCCAAGATCAAGACTAGACTACTTTTCCTCCCTTTCCTTTGCTGGTTGACAGCTTAGCGTGCTTTCTTTGGGGCTCAAGTCATGAAAAGGTCGGCTCAATGAGCTCACCAGAAGAGCTCGTTAAACCGAGTCGAATAACACCAAAATCAGCTCGATTGATAATTCTGAACAAAATTATAACTAAGTAAATCTTCGGTGGTGCTACGGGGGGTATCGAATAAGCGACAAGAGTTGTTTTTTAGCGAGATTCAAATGTACTCCCACGAATTTTATTCATTATTAAAAAAAGGAAAAATTTTTTCACAAAAATTTCTTTATTTTATCAGTATAGTAACCAAAAAGTTGAACATATTTGGTCAAAATTTGGACCTATTTTGGCCTTTTTCGGATTTTTTCGAGCCTATTTTGCCACTTTAAAAACCTATAATAGGAACCTATTTCTCACTTTTTCGGACCTAAAATGTCGGACTCTAGTTATAAATAGTCGGCAGTTTCAAAAAAAGCTAAAAGTAATTGCAGCTTGCCCCAAAATCCGCAAGTTTCTTTCTGCAATTTATTTGATTAGTTTTGGTAATTAAAACTTACCACCCCCTCCCTCTCTTAATTTGTACAGAATGATCAAATTTTTCTTTCTTAATTCCCAGAGGCTAGCAAGACTCTTGGTCTTGACTCAGGACATAACTTGGGGTTTTTTCGGTCTTGGGGTGTAGTCGTGATCTTAGAGGGGGGAAACGGACTTAAATTTTACCTTAATTTTTTTAAAAGGATTATTTTTAGTGTAATTCTTAAACAAATTTAAAGTTCAGATAGAAATTTAGTAAACATTTGATTCCTACATAATCCTATAAATTTTTGAAAAACTGAATAATAAATTGTGAGGGAAAAAACTTGCGGATTTTAGGGCAACATAACCAAAAAGAGTCTATAATTGCAGAAAATTATCCGGGAATTTGGATAAAAATCAAAAACCTTGGAAAGATCAAAAAATTATTTACGGAAAATTTCCAACTTTCCGGCAAAGTCTGCATCCGGAAAGTTTAAAAAAAGATAATTTTCCGGAAAGAAATAGTACATTTGACTTAACAAACTTTCTTTCACTTAAAAAGGTTAAAAAAAGAGGGGATATTTTCAAATAAAAAAAAGCCAAACAAACTTCTAATTTGCAAATTGAACACACTTTTTAATTTAGTGTTCAATATTTTTATGTTTCTTATCGCCAAATTCCCCCTTTATTTTTTTACATTTTCTCGGTTGTCTCGTGTTTAAAAGAAAAACTGAAAACGTGTGATTCACTAATGAAATTTTGTTTTAAGAGTTTTTTTGTGTGTTATGATGAGTAAAAGAAGGGAAATAAAATTTAAATATTTTCTGAGAAAAATTTTTTAAATAAAATTTTTAAGAAAACGTGGTAATATTGTCGTTTGTGGCATACATTTTTCGGAAAAATTTCGTCATATCACTCGAAAACCGATTCAGACAAATGATTTGTCAGTCGAAAGATCTCACCAAGCTGAGTCGAACGACACCAAAATTAGCTAAGGGACCCTATATCTCGGCTCATAGACGAGTCCCGAAGCTAATTTTGGTGTCGTTCGACACAGCTCGGTGAGATATTTCGAAAGACATATATTTTGCCCGAACCGGTTTCCGGGTGATATGACAGAACAAATGACAAATATGAAATGACAATATAATGACAATATAATATAACAAATGACAATATAACAAACAATATGACACAACAACAACCCATTATTTTAATTTGCCTTATTTTTGCTTTTAGTAATAAATCAGAATTTAAATTTTAGTTAGAGAGGGGTATGATAAAAAAATTTTGGAAACAAACAACAATTTTGCCTAAAATAAGATGACAAAAATAAAATATAATAAACAAAAATACGATTTTTAAAAATAAAATTTAAAAAAAGAGAGAATGATTAAAAAAGAAAATAAATTTGTGTAGTTTTTTGTGCAACGCATGAAAAATTAAGAAATATATTTATTTAGAGCGTCTGGCCAATCAAATATACTATTTTTATTTAATTCCCCTTCGCTGCAAATCGCCTTAAGGAAAACGATTGACTGATTAGTTTAATATTATTTTTTAACAAAAATGTTAATATATGTATTGATTAAAGGGGAAATGAATTGGGAAAAAGAAAATTTTCATCAATTAATTTAAAAATTAGCGAAAAAATCATTTAGGCGTAAATTGAAAACGTGCTTAAAATTAATGAGGAATGGGGAGAAAAAATATTTTTTGACAGTGATATTATAGAGATCGGTATTTTCAAAAATCCTGGATTTAGACTCTGGATCTGGATTTAGGTTAGTAACCTGGACAAGATTCATGATCTTAACCGATCTCTATATGGTTTCATATCCACATGGAAATTTCCCCAGATTCTCCATTTATTTTTTATGGGAAATGGCGATGTTAGGAACTAACATTTGGGGATCTGGATCAGAGAACTACCTAAAACCATTGTCGGACGAGAAAGGGAAGTCGGGGACATCTCCTTTAGAAACAAAAATTTACGACAATGTTGGGAAATAACGTACGGATGTGTCGGAGAACAACCTATAAATCATTGTTGGGAGGAGACAGGAAGTCTTGAACCGCCCCTAGTTATTAAAAAATTTTAAAAATTAAATACTTTTGGAAAAAGGTCAATTTGTTGTTTAAAATTATATCTGTAAAAATTATTAACAAAAAATTTTAATAAAAAATAAAATATATATTTAGAAATTTATGTTTTGTCTTAAATAACATATTTAAATTGAGCAAATATTTAAAAAAGATAAATCTTTAAAAAAGGCATGTAAATATTTTTTATTTTTGAACGAAAAGGGACAAATGAAAAAAGTACCGTATTTCTTCTAATAGTGCGACTCCCTCTAATAGACCGACCCCCTAGAAGAAGATTGAAAAATAAAGTCTGTCGCTATTAGACCGACTTCTTCTATTAAACCGACCCACTTTAATGTGGCGTCTTTTATGTTTTATAGCCATATTCTTTTATAGAGCAAAATCTGAAAAATGCAGGATTCGGTTTCCGGATTTTAGAAATTTTCCTTATCCGGCGTGGATTTTCTGAATCAAAATACGGAAAACCGGATTTTTTTAGATTCGGATTTTCAAAAAAAGAATTAAAAATTACGCAAAAAATAACCAAATTATTGTAAGATTAAGTAAAATGCGGGGCATTTAAACTCAGTAACTTAAAACAAATCTTATTGTGGGACACCAAGAAGGATATCGGTGGATATGGTGAAATA